GCAGCCGACAACCGCCACTAACAAAAGGACGGGACACATGGTAATCGTAGAACTTGTGGGGGGAGAGACCATTCGAGGTGAGCTTCCCAAGCTGAACTGAATGGGAACATGGCATACCGGAGACCAAAAAACAAGACCACACCTGTTACACAGACGGGTCGAAGACCGCGTCTGGTACCGGAGCATAGCGTCAACTATAGCGATCACTATGCACTGGAAAGACATGCCTCTACTTCTACTGATGGCTCCAAAACTGAAACAGGCTCGGGATGCGGAGTATACTCCAAAGCCTTCAAACTGAACATAGCTATTACAGCCCTTGGCTTCATGCCAGATGTCCTCCAAACGGAAATTACTGGCATAACCATCGCGGCCGAGCAAATAGTCAGCAACAATATCACTGACAAGATCGAGCACATCCACACGGACTGCAGATAAGCAGTACTAGCCCTATCTAGACCGCGACTCACGTCAGACCTAGAACAACATTGTCACCGTACACTCACAGAGGCGTCAATCAACAATACGGTGGTACTCAGCTGGATAAAAGGACATGCTCATAGCAAAGGCAATCGGGCTGTATGTGCTCTAGCCAGAAGGCCCGCCAGACTGCAGCCTTCTGGACCGGAGCCCTTCGTGGGGCTGACCATGTCGGCAGCCAAAGATATGATGAAAAAAATCTCCAATACCCTTTCCAAAAAGTGCTGGGACGATCCGATTGGCTGCAACTTATTCAAGGAACTGCTAAGCTATCCAGATAAAGCTGCAGCGAGACAAAATCTGTCGTTGACCAGGAAAAGGCTACGTCTAATAACGGGCATCTTTCCTGGCCACTGTCAGTTGAACAAACATTTATTTAGGTTGCATCTCAGTACCACCCCCTTATGTAGGGCTTGTAATCAAGAAGACGAGACGATAGAGTACATTCTCTATGACTGCACTGCTCTTTCGCATCATTAGAAGAGAGCAGAGGCACCGCCCTCGGCGACGTCATCGCCTGCGTTGAAGCGCTAGGCTGCATGACGAGCTAAGGATGACCTCTCCTCTTGTGGAGGCGCACAATAGGCCTAATGTGGCTTAAGTGCTGTAGCATATTACTATCCCAAACTTACAGATACAGAAGTATTTATTTTCTCCATTATCATTAACAAAGTCGAGAGGAATATATCTAGCATGATTTAAAGAGATGTATCTATCGATAAATTGCTTGTACCATTTTATTTCCAGGCAATGGGTATTTTTTGCGAGAAAAAAAAAATAGTATAGTTTTTAAATTTTGACAGTTTGTTCAGATGGACATAGTGAGTCAGAAACTCATTTTGCAGCAGTTTAGGGGGTGGGCTCGTTGAATGGGGGCGGTTTTTTGGAAAAATGGCAGTTGTGGTAGAACGCTGCTAATACGGCTTAACGAAATTGCAAAAAAAAAAATCGAAAAAATTCTTTAGGGTATGGTAATTAAAAAACTCCGTGACAGCCCTATTCTATCTTTTATAGTTAACGCCCTAGAGCGCGTCAAAGTAAGGGGTGTGACCTTGAAATTGGCTATTTCCATTTTACGATTCGTGCGTCAGAAAAAAAACGGATTATTCAATTTCAATTATTCAAAAACTATCTAAATCTTGAATAAATTTGCCATAAGCGTGTTTTTGGAGGGGTCCGATAACGTTAAAATTAGTGATTTTACAAATTATTGAATTTCAACTTTTACCCATTGTAAAATCGTTAATTTCAAAGTTATCGGAGCGCTTGCACTATGGCAAATTTATTCAAGATTCAGATAGTTTTTGAATAATTGAAATTGGATTATCCGTTCTTTCTCTGACGCACGAAACGTAAAATCGGGCGGCGAGGCCAATTTCAAGGTCACACCCCTTACTTAGACGCGCTATATCGCGTTATCCATAAAAGATAGAATGGGTCTGTCGCGGGGTTTTTTATTCACCATACCCTAAAGGATTTAATCATTTTTTTTTTTTCAATTTCGTTAAGACGTATGTGCAGCGTTCTACCCCAACTGCCAATTTTTCAAAAAACCGCCCCCATTCAGCAAGCTCACCTCCTGAACTGCTGCAAAATGAGATTCCGACTCACTATGTCCATCTGAACAAACTGACAAAATTTAAAAACTATACTATTTTTTTCTCGCAAACCACGTTTTTTTTGCTTCATGGCCTGGACTATTTAGGAAGAGGATCGGGATTTTTGGCAGAACGTCCTTCAAGATTCAAAAATCGTTTTCGAGCCATATTGAATGAATCGCCAAGTTTCTAAATGTTCATTTGGTCTTTTTAAAGGAAGTGTCACTTCGAAAGACCCATCAGGCAGAATTCGATCGGTTTGACGAAATATTGCTTCTGCGAGTTCATCATCTGTGGTGAATATTTTATCATGAGAAGTAATTTCTTCCTGAGTCCACCATACAAGTTTCAAATTGAAATTGAACATTGTGAAAATTTTTCATTGTAGGTATTAATTTGGGATGGGACCTCCCATTACAAGCCCTAGATGCGTGTCAAGGGGTGTCAAAAAACTACTCCTGTCAACAACTGATAATACATTTTTGCACCAAGTAGAAAATCAATGTGCGAATGTACAAAAAATTATCGTTCAGCCAAGCTGATATTCGGGTCTATTTGACTGAACTTGAATTGATAACTCTGGAAAAATTTCCATACCTATCGATTCAAGTTTTCGATTGTCGATCCGATTTGAGTTACAGAATAGACCCGAAAAATGGTAGTAAACGATTGGTTATTTTATTCAAGACTAAACAAGCTACGTCGAGGCAGTAATTTCTTTTTATGTTCCAACAAATTGAGCATTTCAAAACCCTGTTCGAGTTGGTGACACTGTTGCCAACACAGTCAATGCGGATTTCTCGTTTTTCTCTCCGCTAAGTGTTGAAGTTGATAATGCTTGGTTATATAATTGCTAGTCATGAAGAATTACGCAAAGTATTTGGTGTGAGTCTCGGTGTAAGAGGTAGAATTGTTTTCGGGAGGGAACTCAGGTTACCTTGCGATCTGATGTTTGGAATACCTGAAGAACAAAAAGAAATTCGAGATTATGCCGACGAAGTAAGGGCACGATTTCTGGGGGTAGGTATCCCCATGATTTTGCTCGGGAGTATATTCAGCTGGCCAGTGACCGAATGAAAACCAGATACGACTTGAAAGCCAATTCGGCCGGATTTCAAGATAGTGTTTAGTTAGTGTGGCTGTGAAATCCAGCTAGAAAAAAAGGAGTGTCGCCGAAATTGCATTTCGAGGATTGTTCCCAGGTCTTTGTTGTACTTATCCAGAATTACAGTTTGGATCATTTTCAGACTGTGGAAACCAACTAACCGGGTGGAGAAAGGTATGATGCTCATAAATGCAAATTGAACAGCCTTATGATGTACAGTTGTCTGTTACAATTGTCTTATTCCAAACCAGATGCTTTTAGAAGATCCATGCGAATCTCACCAAGAGAGAGAAAAAGGAACGACTACAAAAACAGCAAATAGGATTATAGTGACATTGAAAGGAAACAACTTACCTGGTACGGACACAATGATGCCAAAAAAATGCAGCATTGGCAACCAACAGTTAGAAGAAAACGAGGAAGACTGGAACTAGAATGGCAGAAGACCAAACAAAAGTCCACGAGTGATTGTGACGATAGAAGAGGATGAAAATTAGGTGTCGGAAATTGGAGAAAGACGTTCTAAACTGACATAATATAATATAATATGTGTATAATTGAATTTGGTACGAATTAGAGAAATCTTAAGATCCTAGAGCCCTTTGAACGTGCTTCAAAAACATTAACTGGTTTATAAATTGACTGACCAGCGGTAGCGTGACTAAAAAGTTCGGCATCAATTAAAGATCTAAATTCCTAAGAAGGTGCAATTTTCTACAGATTAGTATGTCATGTAAAATGTCAAGGGTTTGGACTGGACCCCTTTAGGCTAGTTCCTTCAAAGGCCTATTTATTTTATAAATCAACTGTTCCTAGGATAGGTGGCGTGCCTAAAAGGCCTTGCATCAATTGATTGTTCAAAAAGTGTAGCTTCCAAAGCTGAATTTTAATACTTACGCCTTCAACAGCATCAGCCAAGATGAGCACAAAATGATGAAATCCACCTAAATATCCATGAGAGGTGGTCAAATACTGTCGCAAATTAAAAGAACCGAGATAAACAAGCTTGTAGCCATAATAAAACTTTATTAAAAGGTAAAAAACTCCAAGTAACTTGTTAACAATTCGTACGATTTTTTTAACATCTTCATACAAAATTCTGCATTTTCTCAAACTTCTCCTATCGTTTTCGTCAATTTTCAGCAACATTTCGTTGATTTGTTTAATTTTTTGACATACAAGGTGCATCAATTGATTTGACAGCATCACGACGCAAAAGGGTCCTTCGGTATGCACCAAACCGCACCAAAAAATCCAAAAAACATCTTTCGTTTTAAGCATCATAATGAATTTTAGAAAGATTATAATTTTTATAATTAAGTTTCCAATAATAAACCTGAAGAATTCTTGTTGATTTTGGGCGGGTGTGGGATCAATGCTTTTAATCAAATCAATTAAGTTTTGCCAAAGGTCGGAACGCACTAAAATGTTCAATCGTGTCAAAAACAGGGCCATAAACGCACTGGAAAGCAACAAATACTGCCAATTGATTAAAATCACGTCTTTAAAAGGCCACATCTCCATTATGGCCTTTATGGACACGTAGCCGTCCAATAATGTCCACATTATCGCACTAGTGACGTGCAAAAATTTGTATTTGGCCTTAAAGGGCGTTTGGCCTAAAAAAGCTGAGTAATAAAATATCAACGGCATTCTGTCGATTACTGAAAATTAAATTGAATTGCATCGATGTAATATTTCATTTGTGTTAATTTGGTATAAAGGTTTTGATAATGACTTGAGCCTGAAAAAATTAATTGGTTGATATACAGGAGGTTTAAAATAACATGAGAAATAATCTGAGATTTTTATTGTAGATGCTTCAACTGTGCCGATTGTAGCCGTTCGTTAGACTCTACCAACCAAAATAACGGTCCCAACGGTAAAATCTATTGTAGAGGACGCTACGGGTGAAACTTTAGACCAAAAGGTGTTAGTTTTGGTATGGGCACCGGTACCTTGACGATGGCTTAAGATTCACAACAAATTAGTTTGAAGCTTCTGAAAGTAAAACAAAGACGACATGAGCAATTGTTTATAAGCATGTCAAGATTTCAAAAAATATCCATTGGCAGCTTTAGCGTCATTTATTAATTTTGCTATACCAGCAGCACCTCCACCTAACGCTTCTAGAGCAGATAATCCAACAAATAATGGATTAAGGGATTTTCAGTTTGTTTTGGGAATAGGAATAACTCTTCTTAGTTGCTGCACATCTAAATTTCTAATTATTATTGATGAAGAATCTATTGCAGCACTTTGTAAGTTTCTTTGTGGACACTGTGCTTGAAAATGTTGTGGGCTGCCACGCAAACAAAACATTTTCGGGTATATTTACATTTAGGCCTTCATAGCTCTACTGTATCATACTGAATGAGACACTTTAACATTCTCACTCAGGTCATATCTATGCTCTTTGAGCTCTCATATAATGACATTAAATTATTTCAAAAATGGTCTTCATTTGTGAGCAAAATCGAAAATAAACTTACAGTTTGCAGCTATTTTTCACAAACCTTCACTCATCTGGGCCCATAACCTCTTGAAAATAATGGACAAATAATACACTGGAAGCGATTTCTAGTAGAAGATTTAATGTGAAATGTGAAAAAACATTGACTAATATCTATTAATAATCAAGACAAAAAACTATTTCGTCTGACTTATGCCCGTATTACATCTGTGTATTTTTCCGTGTATTTATTCATGTAGTTCAGGGTGACAACCGAAAAAATTCGAACGTAACAGAAATCAACATTATGAAAAACAAAATAATGTTGGCACCCTGAACTACATGTATAAATACACGGAAAAATACACAGATGTAATACGGGCATTACACTAGACACAATGCGAATGAAACAGTGATACGTGTGGTAAAACTAAGCGAATTTCTATATTTTATACATTATGTGTAGATATGTAATTATTAAATAGTTCATTTAGTACCTTCTAATTTTATTATTATTCCGACCGGGATAAAAAAATAAACTGTATAAAAGTAATAAAATACGTGCTGACAATTTGTAAGTAATTGACGATGGTGGAAGGTTGCAATATGAAAAATCTTTCGGCTGTAAATTTGATTGGCTGTCGTTCGATTTGGTCGAAAAAGTCGTCGAGTTCCGTAAATCTGAAACACGAGAATCACCAATCGGAATCGTTCTGTGCTTTAAATACTGACCGTTCGGATGTTTGATCCAGATTCTTTTGTAAGCCCCTGCAAGTTTTTTGCAGGTTCCTGGATTGTTTACTGGCCTGGTGACCGGATAATGCAATTACTAGCGGTACTAACTGAAATGTGAAAGTTTTCAAATTCAATAGATATAAAATTGCAGGCGTTAATTGAATAAAATGTTAAAGTTGATAAAATGCTTATAGAGCCACCTTATAACCAAAATTCAACTATTTATATTCGGCTCTTGAAGTGCCTCAAACTAACAGTAGACAAGATGCTCAATAATTGCACTGATGGGGATAAAAGGCTCCAGAAGATCAACTTTTGATTATTAATGTTTCTTGATTTGTTAAATTACTTTGCTAAAAGCAATCAAAATCCTGTAATAGTCAAATTTTTGGTTACGACCGGCTCTTGCCTCATTATTTTTCATCCCAGTAGGTACTTAAACAAAGCTTTACAAACTAAATTTTTAATCAACATTCATTAAGAGCAAAATTGGGGTTCCAAATAGAACAAGCCTCTTCTTGGAATTCACAGTTGACTATTGATGATTAACAAAGTTTTGTTTCTTGGAACTTCAAAGTTGGAATATTTTTCAACTTATCTTTGTGACTTCAATCCTTAGAGCAGGTAAAGCGCTGCCTTACGGACAACAGGAGTGGGAACGTGCCATTCTGCTATGAAACTGAAGTGAAGCCAGTTTTTTGCAGGTGTTCGAACACCAAATGACAGGTAAAACATTGAATTCGCTATACTGCCACTATTTTGGATCTCCAAATACCTGGAAAAAAACGGCTTCAATTTCCAACCTCATGTTCCTTCTCTTCCCACTTAGGCAATTACCTGCTCTAAGCTTCAATTAATCAATAGAACATATTAACAGGGGTGATGAAGTCATTGAAAACATCTAACTAATGTGGCAATTAACATAATTTTTTATGGCACTTATTGGTAATGAAAGTAATTCAATATAATGGGCCTGTAGTGGATGTTATTTCTAGTTAAATTATCTTTTGTACCTGAAAAATTTAATTTTAGATTTTTCTTGAGTTTTGACTTAACCATTAGAAAGGGAATGTCAATGTAAGTGGGAATCGACTCTTATATATCATGTTTCCAAGAGACTATTCTTATGAAAAACCAAAAAGTGTTGAAATTCTTGAGCGATTTGGGCGCGCTACATATTGTTCAAAGCTTAATTGATATCCAAATATTTTGGAGAAATGTTTGTTTGGTAAAAACTCAAATACATCGAGACATTTCGATTAGGTCACAAATAAAAACGAATTTGGAAGTTCTGAAACGTTTAAGTATATCGAAAAGTATAGGCTGTACTGAGAAGCCCTTCAATATAATATCGTTCAGTGAAAATCCACTTGAACATTTCATGGGGAAGTCAAACACCACCCTGACTTTGGTAGTCGGACTGTTGTCTCGGAGTACACAATGGTCTTTTAAAGAGTATTTATTTTCGTTGTCCTTGGCACTGAGATACATACCCAAGACTTGGAGAGAAGTTAAAGCGGTTTTCCTACCCAAACCAGAAAGAATGGACTACACCAACCCCAAAACATATCGCCCCATCAGCCTCTCATCATTTTGTCCAAAAACAATGGAGATGCCATGCGAAAGGTACATAAGGGATGAAGTATTGTCAACCAATCCAATCCGCCCTAATCAGTGAAAACCACACCAACTAAGGTTTTGGAAGTAATTCTATGTTTGATGCCCTTGGATACTTATGTCAAGGAAGCCGTTTTAGCCACAATGATGCGCTTCCGCACTATTGGAATAGAAGGGAACCAGGCTACAGTCTTCTGGACCGGAGTCCTTCGTGGGGCTGACCATGTCGGCAGCCGAAGAAATGATAAAAAAACGCTCTCAAACCCTTTTCAACTGGCCACTGTCAGTTAAAGAAAGTTTTGTTTAAGGGGGCAACATCGCTCCCATACACACGATACAAATTAGATTTTTAGTTATAAAAAAAATTATAGATGGCGCCAAGATTTGAAATAATAGCGATTTCAATTTGCAGAATCAGTGCAACTTTTTTCACTAAGTTCGCACTGATTGACTAATGGGAATTGCTCGGGAAATTGCCATTATTATTTCGCCTGGCCCAACCAAACTTGATATACTTATTTTTCCTATTTTACTTTATTAGGAATAGAACAGGTTTTTATGTATGAAGAAATTGCCTTGTATTGATTTCGGAATATTTCCACTAAGTAGGTATAATCTTTTGCCAATTTTTCAAATTTTCATTTCCTTTCACACTTAGGAGGAGCTCCGGAACAGCTCCGGGGCTTCACGCGCTTCTTCCTTTCGAAAAGTGTTTGTTGCACCACGCATCTGTTCCCTGCAAATCGGGGGCGACTGAACACCGGAGCGAGTAGCTCGAGTGTTTCAAACTCTTGAAAGGAATACAACTAATGATATTCATAAATATGTATGTAAAAAATAGGTAGGTAAGTAGGTAGTGAATTGAATTAGTAGAGAAATTTCTTCGATCCGAAAAAACTGATATAGGAGTTCAAAACAATTGGTTTTACAAAGATTTGATTGGTCTCGACTGTTTTTTGACGCCGCATATACAGTACTTTCTTTCTTTCTTCTACTGTAATTGAAATAAGACAAAAAATAGTTCATCGGTTCTCAATAGTTGTATTCCTTTCACACCTAGGAGGAGCTCCGGAACAGCTCCGGGGCTTCACGCGCTTATTCCCGCAAGAAACCTATGGCATTTATATACGAGGTAAGAAATAACTTGAAATTGTAACTGGAACATTTTATACTGAAATTATACTCTCTTCCAGTTTCTCATTCAACTCATATTGTTTTATGAAAGCCATGTATTTTTCTCTTTCATGCAAGAAACCTATGGCATTTATATACGAGGTAAGAAATAACTTGAAATTGTAACTGGAACATTTTATAGTGAAATTAGTCTTTTTTTCAGTTGCCCATTCAACCCATTTATTTTATCAAAGCCATGTGTTTGTCTCTTCCAAGCAAGAAACTTATGGAATTTTTATAAGAGGTAAGAAATAACTTAGATTTGTCTTCAGGTATATAATTTTTAGGTTCCTTCTTTGTTACAGGTACCTAACACTTACCAGAAAATCAAAAAGGAGAACGGAATTTTATCTTCGTTCATGCCACTTTTTTTAGAAAGGAATGTTTTATGTTTTGCTTACTATGGATACATTTATAAACTTATAAAATTTTACTCGCCTCTTTACAGGCTGAAATGTACGAGGTGTATGTAAATTCAAGTAATCCCTTTTGAGCAAGATTATGGAGGGATTTGTATTTCCATGCCTGGTATGACTTCAAATTTTGTTCGACTCTGTAAAAGTGATATTTTGTTGTAGAGCTTGTTTTTGAGGTATGTTTAGTTGTGGTAGGTACCTATGAGATTTTCAGGAAGCAATTGGCACATAAATGGGTTTACAAATAGAGGAATACTTAGAGGAATAATAAAAAAATAGTCCTACCAGGAGTCTTACACAATTTCAGATATTGGTAAAAGATCCAAGAGCTAGTAAAAGAAATGCAAATCGCCAGATACCTAAATTGAATGCTCTACTGCATTGGTGGATATTATTATTGCACAAATATGCAAGAACACAAAGGAAAAACTCTAATTTTAGCACTTTCCACCTTTTGTAAATAAATTTTAATAATTATTATTGAAGCTTTTTATTTTTTCAAAGACATTTTGTCCTACAAAACACGATCCAATTTTTTTATGTATACCTAGGTACGTAAAATAGATACTCTATTTATTTTCAATGGAAACTAATGGTACAGCATGCTTTGTGCCTATTATTTTATAAACCAATAATAAAAAACAAAACAAATACACGAGGTGAGAAGGAGGTTCTGTTGTCAATAGGCTTTTTTGGAAACGCTGAACAACCTACATCAGCTGCTGCTCCAACGGTTCGGGTTTTTCGAAAACGCCTAATCATGACATCACGAATTGACTGGTGGCGCCATCTTCGAAAAAAAGCCTGAACTATATTTGCCAAAAATATCTGTAATTTTATTCCAAAATCGGTTTTAGACTACAAAAAAAAACGGCACATCAGAATTTGCTGAAATTTGGCATAAACATTCTTTGATCGATTATCTAGAGAATAGTGCTCTTATTTTTTCGATTTTTACCGTGGATTTTTCTATTTTTAGGAAATAGTTAATTTTCACAATATAGGCCAAAAAAAAATTCGAAATATGGAAAATCTAACTGCACTATTCTCTAGATAATCGATCAAGGAATGTTTATGCCAAATTTCAGCAAATTCTGATGTGCGGTTTTTTTTTGTAGTCTAAAACCGATTTCTGTATTTTGTATCGTGTGCATGGGAGCGATGTTGTACCCTTAAGTTGCATCTCAGTACCACACCCTTGTATAGGGCTTGTAATAGATGATACAGCACATTTTCTGTGACTGCATTGCACTTTCGCCAATATGCAGAGCCATATAATGCCAATTGTGCCCATCATTGGAATTTCGAGATACCGACCAAATTCCGATATTTTCAAATGAAACACCCTAAATATTAATAGCTCATCGGATAGCTCTGTTTTTGCTGATTTCAATGATATAAAGTTCGATAGGTTTATCTCTAACAGTTTTCGAGAAAAAAAATTATATCTGTTTTTGTCGTAAGGACCAATGTGTTAAAAAAAGGATTTTATATGTGTAAGGAAAAAGAGGAAGGTCTCTTTCTAACACATTGTTTCTTATGACTGAAACATATATTTTTTTTTTCTTGAAAACTGTTAGAGATGAACCTATCGAAGTTTATATCATTGTAATCAGTAAAAACAGAGCTATCCAATGAGCTATTAATATATAGGGTGTTTCATTTGAAAATATCGGAGTTTGGTCGATATTTCGAAATCGGAACAATATAGAAAAAAACTGAGTCCGCCACTGGATTGTGCTCAAAAATGTGTCTCCATAATGTTTTTACAGAAATAAAAAAAATTGACAAATAAATAACTTATAGCCATTTTTCATGATAGGGAAAAATCGAAAATCGCCCTGTATTAATGGTACCAATGAAGATATCGCGATGCGGTTTTTGACATTCGACGTTTCTCG